AAAGCATGGGCCGCGAGGTGGCGCGTCATCATTTTCGGCTCTTTCCCCCCTGAAAATATGACTTGGCCCCCCCCAAGAAAAAAAGCTGGATCCGCTCCTGTTTACAAACACAAGACTCAATTATGACATTACGAGCCGGGAGGGCGCTTCGCGCCCTCGCGGCTCGATTGCCCGGTCGCCGGCTGCGATTCTATCCAAGGCCCGAGCGAGTTTGTCGAGTGATTACGACGGAAAGCGTGATACCGATTCGCAATGAATGAGTACGACAGCAAAGAGCATGAACACATCAATTGGCATGAGAAAAATGATGCGATGCTTTCGCAGGCCTGAACGAATTTTTCGTGAGTTATCGGCAGTTATTGTTCTGAGGAATATCTGATATGGAGATTCCCTTGGTCCATTGTATGCCTTCTGGTATCTGAATAATAGCACCACGCATGAGCATTCACAACTGTGCTTACAGTTTGGAATCTTCATTCACGGGTCGATTTGCAGGCGAATTGAAGCAACGCCTCTGGTTTATCTTGGGCATGGCGAATTCAATGAGGAGACCAAAAATTATCATCATCAAATTAGATCTAGCTCTCGATTCTCCTCTGATGATCGAGTGGAAAACCCCAATATTTGGTACAATGACGGACCGAAAAACTTGATAATTTTCCGGAATAACTCGAGAACGAAGCGATTGATCGAGTGGAAAAGTACTTCTTACGCTAGCGGGAATGATTCGGCATCGAGTCAAAGTAACTTGAAGTCTTTTGACAGACAAATAATCCCGATATTTGGTACAATGACGGACCGACATTACAGCTTTATTCTATAGGGGGATTATTCTATAGGGGGATGAGGGGGATGACTAGTGAGAGACGTGGGCTCTCCCTCTGTTGTTCGAAATGATCGAAGTTGATTTCCATCTTACTCAACTTCAATATCGATCGCGATTGCGGCGCTTTTGTTATGAATTGTTGAGAACCGTCGCCAGTGTGCATGCACATGCATTCTCGCTCTTGCCAAGAGCTCTCGCAACGCTCTCGGAGAGGAAATTCTCTACTTAACTCTGCGATACACCAAAACTCCGTGGGCCACTCTAAATTTGACCATGGTTTGGGAACCCCTGTTCTAGGGTTTTGAAAACGAGTCGTCCCGTATGAGAGTCCTTTATTGGCATATAATCAAGATTCGTTTGTTCCTGAGGAGGATGTACTTCAGCAGTGAAGTCCTCACCGTTGCCATTGCTCTTGAGGGAGGGAGGAAGGAAGTGTAAACCTGGAAGGTACGAGCAGTTTGATAGCGAGAGCTGCTGATCTCGATCGGCCCGGAGTTTTGACTCTTGTTGGAATCAGACTATATGGAGATGCTGGAACAGCTTGATCTGCTCTTGAGGAAACAATCTCACCGATCGCCCATTCAGTGGCTGTACCGGCCTATAGTTATCGACTATTGAGACTTGGTCCGCGGTCATCAGAGTCCTGAAAGTGGCCATCTGGAAGAAGTCATGATTATCAGCTGAATCAATCCAGGAGACTTCAGAAAGCTCGCAGGGAGTGGCTCCATTATTCTGGTGTCGGGTGGAGGTCCCGACACGCCGAATCTTTTCCGGTTTGTGCGGTTGCCCGCCCGCATGGATCCCTCCCCCCAAACTCCGAGAAATGAGCTTCCATCGGAAGATGGCCGGTTTCTCTCCGTCTGCTCGGAGGCGCTTGAACCCGCCTTGATCATGGCGGTTGGGAATGCCCGCATATCCGTCGGCGAAGTACAAAGTTTTGGTTCCCTTCCCGTATCCATTTTCTGAGTAGAAAATACGTTTGATTTTCGGAAAGGGCTAATTTCCGATTGGAAGTTCCCTTCGATAAGGCAGAATACGGTCTCCACCGTCACGGGGAATTCCTCTTCTTTATGTGGCGGCGTTGTTTTTCTCGGATAGCTCTCGGATGCCCTTGTTCTGCTTTAATGCGCCGATCAGGGCCATCCGAACTGACAGGAAACGCGGGCCACGATGTGAGGTGGACGGTGGACGAGTCTGTCTCGAGACTCTCATTTATCTTCCACAGCAAGCATGAGAATCACCTGAGCCTCGCTGATAGGAACTGGTCGAGCGAAGAGAAACCACTGAACATTTTCCTCACAATTGGGCGTCGTGAGCGATCCTGGAATAGCAACGAGAATGTCTTTCGTGTGTTCACGGGCTGCTTTGGCTGTCTAGGGAGCATGGATTCCGACCTCCCGCAGGGACTCGGCTTCTTCTTCCGATTCCCATGTCGGTTGACTCGGCGAGATACCAAGCATCTCACCTCAGTATCGCAGAATAAGGTCTACCACAAAGTTTGGAGCAATAGACTACCTTGGTAATTGTAGTATAGATTCAGATCAGGCGGTAGTAATGAAGATAATGCTATCCCAGCATCGGCTATCTCCATAGGCGGACGTCCGCTCACATCTCCGATCTGCCTCAAAAGCTCTCGGTACGCCAGATTCTCCGTGGACGAAATCTGAGGACCGATTTCCGGCGATTCATTCACTCGCATATACTTTTCCACGGACGCCTCCGCGATGTTTTATGGAATTGACGGGCTCTTTTACCTCGAAGCTGACAGCGAGCACAGCTATCCCTTGTGTGTCGCCCGATGCTTCTGCGACAGTCCTATACGGATCGGCGATATGTACAAGGTGCATCTGAAAACAGGAGCCTGTGGTTACGGATTTTACTGCTCCGGTAGATTGTTGAAGGAGCCGAGACCTATCGGGAGGGTTGAGAACTTCGGCTCCGTTCTTCGAAAACACCTCTGACCGCGATGTTGGTCTTCCGAATTACCTAGGTGGGATAATTTCCATTCTGAGCATTCGACAAATCGCGCAGACGGGATCCAGACGGCAGCGGGGTAAAAGATGGATATCAGAACGGATGTGAGGAGAAGCTCACTAAAGCAATGCCCTGACCTTCAGATGAGAACCGGTTCATTATTCTCCGTCTTTGCATCAGTGATAGTTCTTACGCCATCGGGAATGCTTATCACACATTAATTTGCAACATCCGAATCCCGCGACAACTGGATCGAAGATTCGAGCATTCAGGGAATGGCTTTCCGACTCGGCGCTCATGGAGAGGCGCGAAACCAACCGGAGAAGGCCGAAGTCGGCCGCTTGTTTTCCAGCAACGCCAGAAAAATAAACGCCGAAGGAGCTCGCATGCAGCTTTTGGATGATGAGCTCCAATCCTGATCATGAAGTGTAGAGAGAATCATTTGTTTTCTGAAGCGAAGAACGCTTTCAGGCACAACTATTCCTATATTTCCAAGGAGAATCTCATTACGTGACCCCTGATCTCGACAGTACCGCTCAGAATCGCTCTGAAGATTCTGACTCAGAACGAGGAGCAGGCTGAATTGTTGCTTCTTAAGCTGGCAGCATACGTCATTCGCCAACTTTCATTAAATTATTGGTGGAACTCTGATTCCTCTGATTGTCGGGATTGGAAGTCGGGAACAGAACATACCTCAACGGGTCCAGCTATCCCGTTCACCAGATGTTCGGAACCCACGCGTGAGTTCGATCCCCAATGGAAATGGAAACCTGGCGATACAGCCTGTCAATTATTCAATAAGCAATCGAGATAGCCCGCGATCGGGACGGTTGACGGATCCTGGAACGTCAACTCACTGTTGAGAGTGTATCGGCGCTCCAAGACACTTCCTTCAATCCAACGTGGACGATCCGTCATGTTTGTGTACTGTACTGCAATGAGAACGCCCTCGATCAAATCAGGTGATCAATTAAGGTGATCAAAATTACGACTCTACGGTGTGTCTGCGTATCTTCTGCCCATCATTCCAGCCCTAGGCTCTGTGCAGGGGCTTTTCCCCCCAGGATAGGATTCTCACCTGTATATGGCGTTGTACTCAGAGTGACGGCTGTCAATGGCACGTGGTAGTTCATGAATGTCCACGGACGCGGCTGCAAAAGAACCGGAAATAAGCCAGACTCTAGCATCGTTGGAATTCCGATTGTGTAATCGCTACCGATGGTATCGCAGGGCATGGGATTTTATTGGGCTGCGGGCCGTGTCGACTGCCTCTGCTTCCACCTCGGATGCGTCAGAGCTCGACTTGAAAAAGTCCGCCGATTCCCAAGTCCCGGCGTGCTCAGCCCCTGTTTATCCGGAGAATGGTGGCAGTTACAGATACGCATCGGTACATAAATCCAGGATGGAGGCCCTGAGCCGGGAAATAAATTCGGGCCGGTGGGCATGATGAGGTACCGGCGAAATATGGAAAGGCCTGCCCAACAGTCTCGAAAGGGCACAAAGGATTACAGAACCCACGCAACATCTTACGAGGCGGTCAGACTGAGCGGATGCGAGCGCAGGATGCCTGCAGACCGGAAAGCTTCGGCCGCGTTCTGGAAATCGAGCCCTTCAGCTCGGGGAGGCCTTGATTTTCTCTAACCGGGCTTCTTCGAACGGGCAAGCTCTCCGGAAGCCGGAAGACAAGGGCGGACAAGACGGCAGCTCCGCGGATACGTCCGAGTACCCGCATTCGGACGACCGAATTCCCATCGGAAGAATGCGATCTGGGGAGATTCTTGTGTGAAGCCTGCCGATTCGCCGCATGAGACGATGTTTTGAGGCATCCCCTCCTTGTTTCCAAGCACAATTTCGAGCACGGATTAGAGATAACGAGCAAGATGAGTGTTTTACGCTCGTCGAGTCTGACTGAGATGAATTTCCGCATTTCGCGCTGCGGAAGCGAAATTTCCGAAACTGAGCGCTATGGAGCACTTCACGTGACCAAATCGGCGGATGCTCGCAGCGAGAGAGAGACAACGGACGCTGGCTTCCGGGAGCGTGTCGTCGCTGGCTTCTGAATACGTGCACCCGGGTCACCAGTTGTGAAAGGGATAAAGCATTAAAGTTGAGCGTTCGCTCTTCCCAGACGAGCTTTCGTGGACGGTGACGAATTCCAGTCTCGATTGGGCGTCCGTGCTCACAACGGACTCGAGGATACGCAAATCCTCGATAGCCCCGGGGGCCAATTCAGGGCGTCATTCAAAATGATTTCGATCGAAGCAAATACCTGAAGCAAACGTCGGGTGCATTCCGGCACGATATTAATCGGCGATTGTCGTCGCCCCCCGCATGAGTTGCCGCCGAGAGAAGCCCACGTACTCGGCCCATTGGATGCACCGTATCCCCAGCTGGGTGGGTTCTGCCTCTGGAAAAACTGATGACCTGAAAAGTTGGAAAGGAAAATAGGTATACTTGAATGGACGATCTGCAATATACGCCGAGGAATACATGTCCAGGAGTGTATCAATAGGGAATCTATTAGTCTCGGCTGCCCTCAAAGCAACGAGAAGCCGGATGCGTCGTGAAGAGATCAATGCTAATTCTTTGGAAGAGCGGTGGAATCGATTCTTCGGCATCGGAGTGAGGCGCTCCAGCACATAGTGTGTACTTGGGAGAATACAGTGGCGTTGAATCCAATTTTTTTCGTCAGTCATCGCTTCGTTCACCATCCCTTCATCTCCGTGAGGAATACAGCTTCCACCGTCGATGACGTCAATCCTCCGGAATGGTTTGTTGGAAAAGCGAAAATTATGTTCCAAAGGAACATTCAATAATCTGTGGGATGCATCGCCATTCATCCGTCTTTTCCGCGACTCGCTCCAGCAGTGAAATCTTCGAGCGTAATCATGGGACCCAACATCGATCAGCCCCACAGAATATCCGGTGCTCATAGAGTTGAGTTGACTTCAGTACTTCGTGATCTTCAGTTCACGTGGCTTTTGGATTTTATAGTACTTGTTTACTATGGGCCGCAGCTGGCGGAAATTGTTCGAGCTGACGCGCGGTCTCTGACGGCCGCTAAGTCTCCCGGATCCGGTTGCGTACAGAGCTCGGTTCCCATGATAAATCGGCGTTTTTCCCTATCCGGGAGCGATCATAGATTATCATAAAACTCCTGGTTATTCCAAAAACGGAAGAGACTCGATATTAATTGAATCGATTGATTTTCCGCCTGGGGTCTTCCCTACACTCCATGTACCGATTATCACAGGCCAGGTTTCCATTTGCTTTACGGCCGCGAAAGTCCCACGTACACGGAAAGCTCGGTTCGGGGAAGATGACTCGAATTCGTTAGTTATCCGCGTGTCCTGGCAGCAGGCAACGATATTCTCCACACCAGAGGAGCTTTGATTTCAGATTTCAATAATGATGGACGAAAATCCAATCAAGGTTTGATGCTCGTCGACTGGGTGTCTCGGAGGTTTTCCGCAGTGCTAAACTTTTTCCGCGGAGACTTCCGGTGCCTACTAGCGAGCAAGCACACAGGAAAACCAATCAGACGCTGGTCGGAAGATTATATTGCGCCGCATAATTTCCGCTGTCAATCCTGGAGGGGGAGCACAGAAGAGATGCCTGGCACCCGCCTGATGCTCGGGAGAGCACCCTCGAGTTTCCGCGTCGCAGCCGTTATCGGCGAGCGAGTCGGATGAGCTCGCTACAAACACTGACAATGAATTGGGTAACTGAATTTCGTCAAGCTCGGCCTGATGGGCGCACTCCCAATCCGATAAACGTTGCCTTCTTATCTAGGTCCAGTTCCAGAGTTTCCCGCGCGGGGGACTCCGGGTCTCCGGAAATGATCCTCGAACTTGGAATGAGAACTGGAGGTACTCACTAGAAGTGCGGGCAGAAGCGGGTTGTGTCCGGATGACTTTTCCGGTAGAGGTGGCAGCCATGAGTGTGCAAAGACGAAGGATAAATAATTTCGTGGGGAACATTCTTTAGATAGGAAGATCTCACGCCGTCATGAATTTTCTCTGAAAACAGGGAGAACGATCGAGCGATAAATTGTCCGCTCGCGGGAATCGGTAGGGTTCCAGCATCGAAAAGTAAATTCGATAGAGAATTAATGGAGATGGGAACGTCCTACCTAAGGAGCGGCGGATCTAATGCCTGTCAAGGATGAGAATTAATAACGAGTCAGCCGCATTCCTAAAGGAGATTCCGCGCGGCTCAATGGTCCTAGATCCATTGTCAATGCTCACATCGCGGCTTCTTTCCAGAACTAATTTATCTATTCGTCACAGGCATCAAGGCAGCAGGTGAACCATGAAGCATCAAGGTGAACCATGAAGCTCCTATATGAGGAGAATGACATTGCTTTGATTCGGAATCTCATCCGAAAACACGGGTCACTTCATCGGGTGAGCACGGTATCCGCTTGATTGAGGACGCAGAAACTTGTAATTCTACCTTTTCGGATGTGGATGATGGTTAACGTCTCGGGAAGCTATCCACGACGTTTTTCTGAGTGACGTCCAGCGACCACTGACGGACATCACCGTTTGTCGGGTTACCTGGATCGTGGGAGCGAATCACCAGGATATAGTGACCAGATTGATTCGGTTTCATATGCAAATGAGTCGAAAACGCTTCTGAACGCCCCACCCGAGTCGTGTATCGTGTAGTCGATCAGAGGTGGAAGTCGAAAGTGGAACAGAAAGTTCGGAAATAAATTCCCCATACTGGCCCGAAGCGTCTTTACAGAATCGGGATCCCGGGAAAGCGCTGGAAGTCGTGGTGATATCGAGCAGCAGAAGCGTTAGGTTTTGGGACGAGATGTGCGACAGTCCCAAAGGAACGACTTGTTACCATCCTCGAACTCATCTCAAGGATATTTTTCCACCGTTGCTTCCACGGTGATCAACTCGACGTCGATCCGGAAACCTTTCTCTGAAGTCTTTTAGCATTCGCTTTCGAAATGTAGACGCTTTCTCCGCAAGTAGCGTTAGAGCGTTGTATTGTTCGGTGATCTGTTTCTTCCACGAACTGTTTCCCGCGAAGGTGATTGACTGCGGCTCGAATCATTTTTCGATTATTGTCGGCATTGAAAATGCAAAGGAAGATTGCGAAAACCCCAAAAACTCGCCTGTGTCCGACTTGTCTCTGGTCGCGCTATTCGTTCGGCGAGAAATTAATCAACCGAATGGGGTTCCGGAGAGCGCACCGGAACCGATCGCTCTAGATCTCTCCGGGCATCGCTGATATCTCACCTGGGGAGTTCCCAAGGTGATGCGCGAGTCGGAAGCTGGAACAAGGCGGGAATTTTCGTTCCCCGGGCAATGAGTCGAACGTGGAATATTATACACCTATGGCCCGCTGGCGGGAAAGAATGCGCGAGCTCCTGCAGACAATGCTCGAGGCCCCACCGGAAACGCCTGAGCGCCTATCCCAGGCCCCGATGAAGCCCAAGAATCGTCTGCCTATGGGGCCTTCAGCATCGTCGATGAGAGCTCCAGCAAGCTTCTCGCGTAAGTGTCTAAAACTGTATAGCGTGTAACATTCCTTACGCTTCTCCTTATCTCTGGTATACGATCATTGCTGCCAAGTTCCAGCCCTAAAACCGCTTGTCGGCTCGGGAACCTGTCCTTCTGGGATGGAGTAAATGGATCAAGGCGGGGCTAGATGGGTGCTGAGCGCAGGACGCAGGACGCGAAACATCCGTCTCCAGAAATCGTCGGGAATATTCTCATGGAAGCTGCATGGTTCTAAAAGAGAGAAAACTCCAACACGGGCATTCTCCGAACGAGTTTTCCCATCGAGCTAGCATCGAAAATCATGAGGGCTTCATCGTCGAGGAGTCATCCATGCGAGGTATCCCATGACCACTGATAGCTCGCGGAACTGGCCGTGAGTGAGCCCCGTGCAATGACCGGTCTCTGCCGATCACCAGAGACGCTTATCAGGCGACTGCTGACTGCTGAGGCACCGGAGAGAAAGCTCAAACACATCAGGTGAGCAGATCCGAGGCTCTGGTCCGCCGGTGGATCGTACGTCGGAGCTCTGAGGATTCTCTGGCTTCGATTCGACGCTTAAAAAGATCATCTGAGTGAGAGAAGGGGACCTCATCAAACTTAACATCTACGAATTC